TTATTATTATGATTATTATGATTATTATGATTATTACAAAGTTATTTATATAAAATCCTACAGAGTGGCCTTGGACTACTACCTATATTTAATTTTAAATCTAAAACAGATCGAAATAATTTAAAATACCACTTTACCATTTTCTTTTTTTATTTTATTTTCTGAAATTCCTGATAATTAATTTAACTAAATTAATAATGCTATATGAACACAAGATCTTACATACTTTTACAGCCCGCCAAATAAAAAATATTTAGAGTAATCGTGCATTTGTTTATCATTGATTATTTTTTTTAATTCATATTGTATTTGTTTCACTCAACACTGTGTAATGAGAGAGTTCTTTTTTATGCATTAAAACATTTTTATTATCTTGCATTCTATTAAGCATTTTATACTGTTAAAGATTAAATATTAACTTTATATTTTCATTATGTTTACTTTTATATAAACATATAAATTATTGTAGAATATTGTAAAAGAAAGAAAAAAAAGAAAAAGGAGAGAAATTAAAATATTATTTCTAAGGCCACCCAGTAGATTATTAATATGTATGACAGTGAGTGATGAAAGAGATATTAAATTGTTAGATCCTCCAATATATATATTTATATATACAAATATAAATATATATGTATAGGTATACATACATATAGAAAAGTATGCAGTGTGTGAAGGCATTTATATGAAAGATAATAGAGACCTGTAAAGGACCATGCTGTTTGCTGCACTCCAACAGTGCACCCGTCCAAGCGTCCAGAAGATCCTTATCATTTTTGGTTAATTATAATCACTTTATTATTTAAACAAAAAAAAGAAAATTAATTTAAAATTATTAGCTTAGATCTTGTAAAATGGAGGGCAGTAAATAGCTTGTAAAACGCAGGATAGAAAAATTATTTAATAATTTTATATATATATAAGAAGCAATGATAGTAATAATTTCGTAATAATAAATATGTTTAAACTGTCTTGTAAATGTTGTATCAATTTATTTCTAAATCCTCTCAAAAGGAATATTTAGTTTACACAAGACATTACTTTTGTGTTTGTTCTGCATATATTTATATATATATCTATATATATATATGTACATATATATCATCTATATGTATGTATATATGTATATTCTGCTAGCAGTGCTGTGTGTAAATCTGCTTCATTTAAGGGGTAATGGCTATACTATGTAAATGTTTTCTTTTTTTCGCATAGTGATTATTATAACTCAACATTTATAAATTTATTAAAAAAGAAAAAAAAAGTAACAAAAAATTTGACACATATAACAGTCAAAACATTAACTTCCACATTCATAAGAAGTATGATGTGTTTAGGAAAAGATATATAAATTTTTCGAAAAAATTATTTATATATATATATATATATAATAAAAAATAAGAGGGTTTGCACTCTTATGTAAATGTGAACATTTTTTTCCTTTCCAAATGCAAATATTTCGTTCGTATAATATTATAATAACATCATAATTCTTATAATAACTTCGAAAAATGTTAATAGAATGGTGGTGGTTATACGTATGAAAATTTAATTGATTTATCATGTTCAGTGTCTGTTAGCAACTGCCTTTGTTTTGTTATTTCAGCCCCATGGACCCATCCGTACCCCCCAAGCACCCAGTAGTGAGGTACGTTGCTGCATACCATAATACCACTATCCATATCCTGATTTTGCATTTGTTATCCTAAACTTGCGTCCAATCTTTAATTTATGAGTTCTTATATGATTTAAATAATGCTTCGAGATCACACAAGCTAATTAATCAAAGTTTCTTTTATATTTTAGGCAGCAATATATATATTCATATTTAATTATGCCTGAGAAAAAAAAATAGGATAAAATTAATGATATATATTTATATATATATACATTTATATAAGATATATAAGTTAAATAGTATATCATGAAACTACTTTTTGCATTTTAATACATAGCCAAAGAGATACATACTAATCATTTAAATTGTGCTACAATTAGTCATTGTTAATTAAAAATTTATGACTTTTATAACAACAATTAAAACCTGATAGAGCGAAAAATACATGTTACAACAGTACGTTCATTATCACAAATTTATATAAAATTAGGCGCATAAAATATATATAATAATATATGCTCGCAACTAACAAATTATTTAAATCAACTTGCTTCAACTAAATATTGTAAATAATTGCTCAAAGTAATTTCATAAATTGTGTTTCAACGTAAAATATATTATTTCAAATAGTGTAATCTGAAAATATTCCTTTAGAAAATACATTCGTATTTTGAATAGACAAAAAGTCATATTATATCTACAATTATATCAAATATGTATTTGTTAAAATTGTAATTCATTTATTGTGAATTGTATACTGTCTTATATGTTGTTATACAACAAGTGCTTCCTTTTTTATCATTTTCTTTTTGCAAATTATGTACATTTACAGTAGTTGTATTATTATTATCATATTCGACATTGCATTTGAAACTGGACGCAATTTTTTTTAAAAGTAAATGTTTAATAAATGATATGTATATGCAATTATTGAAATAGAAGTAGTAAATAAGCGATTTTGAACAACAGTTTTTACCAAATGTAATCATTTTTAATTTTTATACATTTAAACAAAAATGTGACTATCTCTTTAATATTTCTATAGTATCACATAGTTTGAAAAAAATGATGATAAAAGACAATTGTTTTTTTCAATACTTCCATTAAAAAAAGATGATTATATTATTGGATTACTCTAATCAAGAAGAGAAAAAAAAACAAATAATTCAATGAAATAATTAAACATAAATATTTATTTACAAGTGAATTTAACTTATTCAATTCTCTTTTATCATTTATTTATTGTTATATTAAAAAAATAACGTTACAATCGATTACTTATTAGATTGAATTGAACATTTAAAAAAATGTATACAAAATAATCACACACAAGTAATTATCATTCTTACATTCTTTATGAAGGAAATATTTTGGAAAACTGTTACAAAGGGATATTAAATATTTTAATGTTAATTTGAAAAATTAATATGTAAATACATATACTGTATTGAGAGACCTTGTTAAATTTTTAATTGCAATGGCAAGAACCTGCATGTTACTTGCACGTGTATTATTACTCTACAATATATATTTACAAATTTTCGAATTTATATACATTCTCTATTAATAATTCAATAATAGTTTGCTACATATATTATTATATCAGTTTGTAGCATTTTCAATGTTACAAAATAATTCTATTAATCGATACTGTTTTGGTTTCAATTATTGAACGTACTCTAAACAAAAACACAAAAAATAAGAAAAAACCATTTGCGTTTCTAAAATTTAAAATAAAAAAAAAAAACTAAATCATTAAAGTTTGTAATGGTAAGATCTCAATGTATTGTCTATGTAAGATTTATATTGACAATTTATAATAATGATTACATATTTAAAATTATTATCGAAATGCATAATATTTTAATAATTTTTTTTTATTAGAGTTAAGACATTCATTTGTTACAGCGGTGCACCAACCACTAATGATGAACAAGTTAAACCACGCAGTCTACGTTTTACTTGGAGCATGAAAACAACCAGTAGTCGAGATCCAAATGAAATAATGTCGGAAATTCGAAAAGTATGTTATTAAATTAATTAAAATAATGTAGTATATAATGAAATGTTTACATGCACACAAATTTAGTCAAACATAAAAATATATAAATAAATAATTACAATTAATACTAATACTGAGAATAATTTCAGGTATTGGATGCTAATAAATGTCAGTACGAACAACGTGAAAGATTTCTATTATTATGTGCTCATGGAGATGCGGCAACTGACAGTCAAGTACAATGGGAAATAGAAGTCTGCAAACTGCCTCGACTTTCCTTAAATGGTGTAAGATTTAAACGTATATCGGGCACTTCTATTGGTTTTAAAAATATTGCCAGTAAAGTTGCAGACGAGCTTAAACTATGATTATCGGCCACGGGCGCCTTAGCAAACCGCGCCAACCCATAACGCCCTCATGAAGAGTACCATCAGATGGCAGCCTGCGAGGAATTTTATTTTTGTTTCTTCTGGGATTCCGATTCAGAAACAGATAGTCAAGAAATATTTGTTTGACGATTTCTCCATCCCAAAGAAAAAGGCAGAAGACATCTTACGGAGTAGATCATCAATATATTTCCTCTGTGTTGGAGGTATGCTGTTGCGATTCTTGGAAAGAAAGCTTGGAACTGTGATTTGTGATGGCTAATACATTTTGAAATACTCTTGAGTGCCAAATGGAACTAGGTTGGCTCATCATATATAATACTTCAAGAAAGGCTGAACAATTAGCCAACCAACTTATGTGTAAAGCTGGGCATTACACACAAAAATCTCTACATGATTAGTTTTTGAACTTTCTTTCTTTTAGTTTATCTCAAATGGATCTGCATAATTGACAATGAGTGAAAGTATCAGCATTTTGCTTACAGTTTGACCCACACCCTAATCGTGATCTCTCTCTCTCTCTCTCTCTCTCTCTCTCTCTCTCTCTCTTTCTCTTTCTCTTTCTCTTTCTCTCTCTTTTTCTCCTCTCTCTTTCTCTCTTTCTCTCTCTCCTTCCCCTCTTTCTTTCTCTCTCTGGCAGTTTTCAATTTAAGTACATCATAATTCAGTTCTGACAGTATTATTAATATGGCATTGCTCTTCTCTAGATATTGCAGGTGTGTGGCTGCAGTAATATATATATATATGAATATATTTATAAACTTTTTATATTATAATACGCTTTGTAGGTGTCAAATATTATTTTCTTCTTTAATATGTTGTTAGTATAACTCTACTAATATTCTAGAATGAAAATCAGTAATATATTTTTAATGTGCCTAATAAAAAGAATATGAAAAATATGCCTTCTTCCTTCTGAAAAAGGTATTGTTTAAAATAAAAAGGTCATTATAAAACCTTTCGACGAAATATAAAAGGATTTTGGGAACACACATGCGGTACACTTTCAATGTCCAGAGAATTTTTTCACACAATACTATTAAATTAAATTATGTTTCATATTTAAAATGTTATAAGTGGGGTATCTCTGTAAATAATTTATCGAATCTAATAACTCGTGAGAAGAAGAAAAATAAGTATGTAGCGATCTATTAATAAGAAATTATCATCACTATAACCAATTACAGTAAACAAATAATAAATTGAACTATATTTTAACGCTGGGCAAGTGCACAGCCAAACTTTACTTTTCAAACATTTTTATGATGTTTTACTTTTTTATCTATATTATATAAGTTTGAAACTACACAGCACTTTAGATATTAGCAAATTAATTCATAATAATTGCTATTATTAACAACATTTTTATTTTTATCATAAAATATAAATAATATTCGATGCAGTACTACGAAGATAGAAGGAAAAGAGAGCTATATTAACATAATTTAATAATATCACCGAGCGACAAAACTCATGTTTCATGTGAATAATACACAAGCTCTCAATTCTCAAAAAAAGTTGGGATATACCTAGAGACACCTCATTATTATTAATAACAAGATCTGTCATTTCTACGAATGGTTATGATAATATTAAATTTAAGTATTATAATTGGCTACTTATTATTAAATATAGTACTATTTAATATCTTTTATTCACAAAATAATTCACGATCGATGAAGTCAAATTCTAGAAGTTATTCTAAATGTAGAGGCGAATTTAGAGACTTGGTGTAAATAATATAATAACAAAGGTACTAAATTAATCGAATGGGAGAAAAAAACCGCCTCTCATACCAAGAATATTATTAATACAAAACTCGGAAATTCAAGTATCAAACTTTTTATATTTGCCTAAGATTAATGAAGAAGAAGTATGTTATGAAATATAGGCAATGACACTAATAATTTATTTACGTAAATACAACAAATGCAATGATTTTTTCACATTTCTAACACTCGCACTTTTAAAGAGTACGAGTAATTTCAACGTACATAAAATACATATATTATACCACTACATTGGCTGCTGTGTTTTGGTAAGCAGTGTTACAAATTGATATACATAAATGACTGATAGCAACTAAGTATCGACGCCGGCAGTTCTGTATTGAAACATCTCTCTTCGAATGAAAACTTTAAATACGATGAATATACAGAAAAAAAGGGCATCGGGACTTACTCTCTTTACACTTATAATCATACAAGTTCCATTTATCAAAATTATCCTACGAACCAATAATACAAAGGACAGTGTAATATATATATAAATTAAATAAAATATGAGATGTGTTAAATAAATACACGCAGAGAACATACTACATATACACATGAAAAAAACAGTGTTAAGTAAAATGGTGGACGTAATATAAAATGCATCTATCGCAAACACTTCATTATTAGAGAATTAGATCTCAGGATATGATCAAGAATTTTTTCTTTTCTTTTATGTTTTTTTCTTCTTTTTTGTTCTTTTCTCCTTCTTTCATTCTTTCTTTGTTAATTCCGACATTAACGATTAGTATATATTGAGTACAATATTCTCACGTTATTGCGATCACACACGATTAATTCGTCGAAAAATAAAACAAAAATATAATCTATGCGATCGCTATAACAAACTGACAACATATAGAAATATACCTTTATGATAGTATAATTATTATTAATGTTAAACATGTAAGGCTCTTTAATAGCGTTAAATGGTATATCCCTATATTATTAGGAAAATGATTATATAATGTAATCTATACATACATCGCGACCCTCCGGTCGCTTGCTTTAACGAGAATAAATGTATAAATTAATTATTAACGCTTTCATGAAATGAATCTAAGTTTAAGAGCAACAACAACAACAACAACAATAATAATAAAAAAAAAAATAAAAAATAAAACGATATGATTTGAACGTGAAAATTATTAAGAACACACGATTGTATATAGCTGAATGGATGACACTAAAGTTCTTTTTAAATGGTCGTGGTAGCGGAAAAAAGTATTGTGATTTTTTGTATGTAAGTGCCGTGTAACAAACAAACAAAAAATATATCTGCTCCCCAAAAAAAAAACAACCTGTGTTGTCCATGCAGCTGTGTTTAAATTACACCTTGCACGCATGCGCACATGTACACAATGCCTGTGTAACTTTGTGCACCGGCAAGAAAATTATATATTACATGCGTACATATATACAATACATATTATACACACACACACACATTATACACATATACATACATATACACATACGAGAACATGTCAGTCTGTAGATAGGTACATACATAAAGCTTTGCTAAGTGTTTTCTGGTGATCGGTATCTAGCAAACTGTAGCAAAAATGTTTATAATAAAATGGTAACATACATTGTTTCCCAATATTAAGATTTCCTTTGTAAAAATGCCAGCATATATATACACGCATACATACGTTCAGGCTCTTTCTATCCTACTTGTATAAACAAATTTTCTCTTTCTTAAATGAGAATTATATTACATCAAACTTTGCGTTCTAAATGAATGTACTTTTTTAGTATGCAAGAAAACTCTTTTAACATTAGTAAAGTTTTTTACGTATATAGACAAAATAAAAAGAAACAAAAAATATACTACTTGATACGAACAAGTAAGATCGATGAGTTGATATAATATACCTATACATATATTCAGCTTTTTTAATCTTCATAATGTATGTATAACTTAAAACGTGGAGAAATAATTGACGTATTAGAACATAGAGTTCGATAAAAAAATTTTTAAAAACCCTTTATGATTATTATAATAAATTAATTTTCTTTTTAAAAATATATTATTATTATTCTTATTATTATTACTATTATTATTATATTATTATTATTATTATTATTATTATTATTATTATTATTATTATTATACATAATAAAAATTGAAAAGTTCCTCTGAAAGACAACATAATCTTTACCCACGACTTTTCTATTTATAAATACTTATATATATCCTTATATATTTATTTCGAATACAAGATAAATTATTTCTTATCACAGATAATTCTATTTATATAATCTTTTAAACAATATCAGTTTAGGTTGTTTTCTTACCCCGCATAAAACTGTTGAAAATAACGTTTACGTCAGCAATGAATCCGAGCGCGATTTTTAACTAATTTTGACGATCAAAGTTTCATTTAAGAAATAAAGGTTCCAGGGAGAAGAGATAGCTTTTTTTGAATTTGTGAAAAACGTAGATACAAAAGAGCCTAAGAATAAAGTGCGTGTTTAACATGTAACATTTAGCGAGTACTTAGATAGGTAGATAATTGCATTTCATGAAATTTAAATATGCTTGAATATCTCTTCAATAAATCGTTATACATTTTTTGATAAAAAAAAAAAAATTGCGTTTATTATTTTAACAACCTTTACCCATCTAAACACGTTTCATTGACCTTAATATTAATTTCTTTTTTGTTTTGTATGAACTTTTACTATTAATTCATTTTTGCATTTTTACTAGCAATTTTTATGCTGCCAAATATTAGATTAACGATCATTACTCTATTTGATTAATGTTAAATTTATTAAAATATAAAAAAATATTTTTTAAAAAGAAATTAATACTTTACATTTGTTTCACACTGTTGGTATGAAAAGATAAATAAATTTTTTTAAGTTACCGCGCTTTCAAATAGTCTACTATTAACGATACTAAAAAAAAAAATGCACATGTTATCATCGAAGATCTATATTAAAAACATTATTTTACGTGCCTTAAAAAACGGGAATTCTCTATTACCTACAGTCGAAAAAAAGAAATTCACTATCATCAACCCATAATACAAGAATCTACTATGATCAAAGCAGTAAGTAAGGATTCATTTTCCTAGTATAGATAATATATATATATATATATATATATATAGATACTAGCATCGATTAATTAACAATTATTTTAATGCACTAATGCACTTTTCTTATGTTACAGCTAAATGTTACTCTGGAAGTCATCTCTGTGCAGGAGCATTAAAATAATTACATAAAAATAATAAAAATGCTGAAATCAGAACGTTATAATCTTAAATTTTATTGATTAGGTGGATTATTCACTTTATACACATGCGCAACGTTAGGAAAATCATATAAACAATATTTAATAAAAGTACTCTCATAGAGGACAACGTGCCAGTCTAAAGGGGAATTTCGAGGAGGATGGTACATAGATCATATATTCCGAGCTTTTACACAACAATAGACATTTCTACTGATTAATTAACAATTATTTTAATATTTTAATACACTCTCTTTATATTTCAGATTGGTTAAACATATATGTACTAGTATAAGCATTACATACTCTTATTAACATACTTTGAATAGGAAATAATTTTAATATATTTTTTTTTTATGTGTTGCTTTTTAATTAGTATTCTGTTAGGACTAAGAGTGATGTTCTTTAAAAAACGTTCTCGATTAGATTATCTTATATCTTTTCAATTTAATTCGGATGTGGACATCTTCAGGATGCACATCTCTCGCTATACATTCCATTGCAAGTGAAATCCAGCTAAAGACCGCTTACCATAAATACTATAATTGTAATTAGTTTCTTTTAACTTCCTAAGTAATACCATATTTGTATTCCTTTCCTTGATCTCTTCTATCCATTTCATCTATAAAAACTAATTACTTTATAATGTTTTTTTAATAATTTTTCTATATTTACACGTATTAGGAAGCAATGCGAAATTGTTGAAATTTAATTTTCCCACCACTTTTAATACTCTTCCTTATTACACTTATAGTTCTTATTTTATCTATAGCTGTCGCTGAAATCGCACGTTTTATACAGAAACAGCTGATCACATATATGTCATATGTATACCTACTGTAAGTAGATTAGAAAATTCATTTATGCGACTATAATTTTATAAACTTGTAAGTCTTTTAACGTTAAAAACAGTGATATTTTTTCGTTTAACAGTTATCGTTTATGCTAATATTAATATGTCTATGTATAAACGTGCTTGTGGTTTTGTGATATTTCGTCAAATTCAAGATTCAATAGAATATCTTCTCATGCAAACGTCTTATGGAAATCATCATTGGACTCCACCTAAAGGTCGACTTTGACACCAACGTTTTTATTAATATCTAAATTAATATGATTATTTAAAAAAAATAAAATTATATATTATAAAGAATTTTTCTTGAAAAAAAAAAGGAACAATTACAGGATTTTGTTTAATTAGGTCACGTTGATGATGGAGAAACTGATTTTGAAACTGCCTTACGTGAAACAGAAGAAGAAGCTGGATTTGTAGAAAATGATTTAAAAATTTTTCAAGATGTCAAAGTAGAATTAAAATATAATGTTAATGGCATTCCTAAAACTGTTATCTATTGGCTGGCAGAACTCATAAATCCTAATCAATCTGTTAGAATGTCTAGCGAACATCAAGCATATAAATGGTTAAGATTTCAGGAAGCTTGCAATCTTGCTGAATATACGGAGATGCAAAATGCTTTAAAACAATTTAAGGAATATATAGATAAAAACGTAAAAAAGAAGTAGAATGAAGAATAACTAATTTTAGTAACAAGAAGCATTTTCAAATACATATTTCTATCAATAAAAAAATTGATATACAAATACATATTTATTATCAATACTGATTGAATATATATTTGACATTTTCTAGAGTCTGATATGAATATTCTTTATAAATTTATACATCTTATGTTAGACTATTATTATAATATGCATACTGTTATTTTAAATGGTAAATATTATTAGATCTATTATTAAGAAAATTTTACAATTGTAATATATAAGTTATGCTTATATTTTAATAAATCATAACTTTATTAATTATCATTTTCTAAAAGATACAATTTTTCTTCCACGTTAAACATTTAGTAGTTACTTATTTCAAATTTAACGATAATACAAAAGATGTCAAACGGAAGTAGATGGACAGTTGCGCCCTCCCACAAAAAGCACACATTTCTTCGTATTCATTTCCAGTAACATTCAAGATTATGCACATGGTGCATTGATATATTTTTCATTTTAATATTACTGTGTGATTGTGAAAATATATATTTCAAAAATTATATATGATTGACATTAAATTTAGTTTTCGATAAAAAGATGGAAAACTTAACAGTATCGCGTCAAAGTTGTCATAGTTTGGAAGCTTTGGAAAATGAAATTTTAGATAATTTGAAATATTTAAAAATATTATCTACAATTAACCTAAACAATGATGATTTATACATTGCATTACAAAATCAATTATATGTAATACCCTCGAATCCAGAGTGTGAAATAACTTCTGTAAATATTAACAATGAAACGAAAAACAAAATTATTGGGTTAGAATATACTAGCATAACTCAACAAGTGTATTGTGCGTATGAAAATGGTGACTTAATTACAATTAATATAGAATCCGATTTAGAATGTGAACTAGTCAAGCAAATAAATGAAGGCATAGATTGTATGAAACTAAGTCCTGATCATGAAATTCTTACATTAGTAACACCTAAAGATACTGTAATTACTATGGTATCTAGTTTTGATATTATATCAGAGGTATATTAATTATTTTTTATATTATATTTGTATTATTATAATTAAAATTATGTCCTTATATTACAACTGTTTCGTCCAATATATTACAGGTAGATTTACAAGAATCTCATTTTGGGAATAAACAGTTTGTAACAATTGGCTGGGGTAAAAAAGAAACACAGTTTCATGGATCAATAGGTAAAGCTGCAGCGATAATCAAACCAGTAGAAATAAATAAAAATAATTTTGACGATGGATTACCAAGAATAACATGGAGAGGTGATGGTTCCATGTTCGCTGTTAGTTTCATCGGAAAAGAGAAAGGCATTCGTCAATTTAAGGTTTTCAGTAGGGAAGGTATTTTGCAATATACAAGCGAGTTGTTGGATAATATGGAAGAGCCGTTAGCTTGGAAGCCTTCTGGAAATTTGATAGCTACAACGCAGACATTAATTAATAAGCATGTAGTATCTTTTTTTGAAAAGAACGGTTTAAAACACAGAGAATTTTTACTTCCATTTGAAACAAAAACTGTTTCAGTAAGTCAAAATTATTTTTTATTTAAATAGCTTGTGTAAATCTAACAATAATTATGCAAATAATAAATATTATATTTTATTTAGGTAAAAGAAATATTTTGGTCTCCAGATTCCGACATTTTGACTATTTGGTGCAAACAAAATAATTATAATACTACAATATTACAATTATGGACAGAAAAGAATTATCATTGGTATTTAAAACAAACATTCTATTTTTCTAAAGACAACCCACTGTTATATGGTACTTGGAGCTCTAGGACTAACTGCGGGAAAACATTAATTCTACTCACGCCACAAAATGTTTTAACTTATTCATTTCAGCGAACCATTAATCATAGCAAAGGTCAAAGTTTGCAAGACAAAGCAGTAGTTGCTGTTATCGATGGAAATAAAGTTTTATTAACAGGATTTAAAATTGGCATAGTACCACCACCAATGGCACATCAAACTTTAGAACTTTCAGAAACAGTCAATGCAGTAGTCTTTGCACCAAATGTAAAAAGTAATGAATCTTTAATAGATACCAATACCTTCTTTTGTGTTTTAAGCAATAACAAATTGGCGTTTTTTAATTGTACAAATGTAAGTATTATGATGTAAGAATTATATATCATTATAATATTTTATCATATATATTAGACTGTCCCATAAGTTCTTTCCGCGCCACGCTATGTATGACTTCGAGTCGACTATGTTTGTAGACATGCAGGCTTTATCTATTGTCCATTTATGGCATCGATTTCAGTCGTTTTACAGCACTTTCAAAGTACATTTCGTTGGTGACAAAGTCTCTTTTAAAATCTTTTTCTACGCCGTTTAATATGTATAGCCCAAAGAAGCATTTGCGGCATGTTATGTTTCATTGCTTTAAAAAAGATAGTATTGCAAAGGACGTTACAAACGAGATGACAGATGTAGACTTCCTGAGAGATGGAAGAAGGTAATAGAGCAGAACGGTTCATATATAACACAGTAAATCAATCTTAAACAACAAATATCGTCTATTAAAGTCGCATCTAAATAAAAGGAAGGAACTTATGGGACAACCTAATATATATTTTTTTTTCAATAGCCTTTTATATGCATTACTTTTATTATATAGGATTCAAATAATATTGAATATAAGAATATAAGTACATGCGAAATGAACTGGGATGTACCAACATTTGATACTAAAAATGTTATACCTATAATGCAACATTTCTCATGGTTTAAGGAAAATACTATATTAAGTTCTATTTCAATAGATAATCAAAGCATTCTATGTGTGATAAATTTAGATCTTGAAAATAATCAAGTTACTGTAAAGTATGTATGCAAAATTTAACATTTATATTCTATCATAATGTTATATTAAATCGCTTAAATTATTATATGTATGTATTCATTTGTTTATTAGACAAACGCACATTATGGATGCCTTAATCGAACACATAATATGTTCTCCTAATACAGATGAGATATTTCTGATAGCAGAAGGATCTGTTTTAAAATACAAAGATAATGAATTGGATTTCATTGGAATCAAATTACCAAACTTTTCTTCTAAAGTTGATCTAATACATAATGGTACAAGTCATGCAATAATATCTTTATCTCATGGCAATCGTTTATCAATTAATAGTAAAGAAGTTGCAAACAATGTTACTAGTTTCTTTCTACATTCTAAACTGTTACTTCTTACAACTTCGCAACATACACTGATTTGTGTTACTTTGGATGAAGAAGGATTGGAACAATTATCTAAACAAGATTTAACTACTAAACCATGGGAAAATAGTATCTTTCAAAAATCTGTTAATGGTTTGTATTAATTATGATCGAACATTTATTATGATTTTATATACATATATATTTTTATTTTATATGTGTATAATTTAAAAAAATTACAGATGTGAATATAAGAAGAATAGAAAGAGGATCTTTTCTAGTAATAGCTCTTCCAAATAACTCCAAAACTATATTGCAAGCGCCTCGTGGTAATTTGGAATGTATTCAGCCTAGACCGCTATCGCTGTATATTATTGGGGAGCATTTGAAAAAGTGTGAATATTTTTCTGCATTTGATCTCATGAGAAAACAACATATTAATTTGAATTTAATATATGATTACGAACCACAATTATTTTTGAAAAATGCAAAAAAATTTGTTGATGATATCGCAAATCCACAGTGGTTAAGTTTATTTTTAACTGAATTACAAAATGAAGATGTTACCACTACAATATATTCGAATTGTTATTTAAAGTGCAAAAAACAAGACGCATCAGTTGCTCAAAATGAAAATAAGGTTTCAGTGGTTTGCAATTTGCTAAAAAGCATCTTGGAGGAAAAACACAATGCAGATTATTTTATACAACCAATATTAGTTAGTTTAGTTAAAAATCGTGATCAACAAGGTTTGGAAGGTGCACTTAAAAAGTTGAAAGAAATAAAGTCATTGGAGTTTAAAAAATTTTCGCACACAATATCGTCCGAAGATGCATTGAAATATTTATTATACTTGGTAGATGTAAACGTTCTATTTGATACAGCTTTAGGCATGTACGATTTTGAATTGACAATGTTCATTGCAACAAAGTCACAAAAAGATCCTAAAGAATATATACCATTTTTAAATAATTTAAAGATACTCGAGGAGAATTTTATGAAATATTCTATTGACATATATCTCAAACGATACGAATCGGCTTTGAATCATATATCAAAAGATACAGAAAAGTTTGATGAATGTTTAAATCTCATACGAGACCACAATATGTATAAAAACGGTTTGAAGATATTTAAAAAAGATAGCAAAGAATATAAAGAAGTTGCACGAATTTACGGTGATTATCTTTTAAGTAAAAATAAATTAAAAGAAGCAGCGATAATGTTTCACAAGGCTAATGATTATAATAATGCATTAAATACATATAAATTAGCCGGTTGTTGGCAGGAAGCAATTATGGTTTCAACTTTGCTACATTTATGGTAGATATATAGAATTACTTAAATTTTGTATTCTTTTTATTCTGATATATTCTCACATTGACTGCTTTATAAAAATTATTACTTAGTCCTACTGAATCATCTGCATTATACGAGGAACTTAAAACAAGATTATGTCAAGATAAAAGATATTTAGAAGCAGCCCAAATATCCGCACTATATATAAAGGACTTTGAAAAAGTTATTACAACACTATGCGAAGGCAAATATTGGAAGGATGCTTTAAGAATTGCAACAGATGTCAATCGTTCAGATTTAATTGGTATATAACACTTAACAATAGAACTACTTTTTATACACAATGATTTTATTAAATAATAATATATTACATTTTAATTTTAAATAACATTTTTTTACATAGAAACACATATTAAGCCTGGCATACAAGAACATGTTGATTATATTACGGCACAAATTATTAAGAATAAAGAAGATTTGGAGAAATATAAAAATCGACTTACAGTAGTAAGAACAGAAATGACAAATAGACAAACACAAGTTTATCACGATACATTAAATGATAATATTTTAATGTCAAATAAAGGATTTAACGATTTTCTCAGTGATACTAGTAGTGTTACAAATTCTATAACGAGTCATGGATCAAGAACTTCTACAACATCTAAGTAAATAAAATAAAAAATGTATAAATTAGATTGGTCGATAAATCAATGCCGTTTATGTAATTTATTTACTTAGAAAAAGCCGCATAGACTTAATGGCCAACCAAATATACATATACATATAAATATATATATAAACATCATTTTCTATCACTTAATCGATACGATAATATTCCAAATTGCATAACTTTTTTTAGGAGAAGTTACAGATCAAGTAAAAATCGTAGGAAGCAAGAAAGAAAGCTCTTAAGTATGAAAGAAGGAAGTATGTTCGAAGATTTAGGAATAATGCGAGCATTACATGAAATTATCACCAAAACATATAAGCAAAAAGGTTTGTGTGTATTAATCTGACATAGCAATAATTAAACATGCTATTAATCATACAATTTTCATGCAGGTGAAGTGGATTTATTAACGCAAATGTTATTACATTTTAATTGTGACGAAGTTGCTGAAGAATTACAAGATAGTATGAAAAATTTTTTAGCTATTATAGAAAGCAGTAAATCTAAAATTTGGGATAAATCAGCACCTATAAGTCTTTCGCTCTATGAAGCAGTAAGTTTCATATATTAATATTATTTATGATTAATATTTAATTGATTGTATATTTTTAGGATTCAATTGATAACGGTGTATCAAAAAAATCTCAAGAAACCTTTGTACCGCAGAAATTAGTTGGTAAGTTTCTATTAACAGTTCCATGCTTCTTAAAATAATTAGTTGGAAATCAATTTAAAAAATTATTTTAATTATTCTATAGAATCACGCATAATGTATCCACCAGAAGAACCTATATCTACAAAAAACCTATATATTTTTTCTAACTAATATTAAATAAAATATTATAAACCTATAATAT